TTAGACTACAGTAAGTTTTCCAGCTCGTTTGAAGTACTACAAGCACTGGTGAAGACTTTATCAACATGATCAATAGGCCTATTTCATTTATATTATTGTTCATAATGCACACAGAAGTTAGGAAAACTTCCTTGGAGAATTTGTTATAGTCAACATTTTAATCAATGTCACTTATGTGAGATATCAACCTATCGAAAGAAAGAATAAAAGAACATTAAAAACGAAATAACCATTACGGTTTAAAAATTAAATCGAACTTAGACCCTGCAATTAGAACGCTATGTAAAGTCACCCAGTGAAGTTTGAAATTATACGTTTCAGAAAAATTGATCATTACCACAATAAATTTTTAGGAATTCCTCGTTTTTACTTGCTTAATAATAAGGCACACATAGTCCCCCACATCCGTTATTATTTCTCTTTCTGGTCAGTGTATAGCTTTAACATTTTTCGTACCCGTTGTTTCAACATAGTTATAATTTATATCAAGGTATAGAACATGACTATACATGTATTTGAAAAATAAACAGGTGCAACTAAACTTTTTCTTTCTTTCTTATCGATGATAATATGCCACTCGTAATCAGATAAGATCTGATTATCCTATATTTTGCAAAGAGTGATATAAAATTGACTCTAAACTCACTCTATCGGTAGAATGTACATGTACGGTATAATGAGCCTTTTTTTCAAGAGGTTTGCCATAAAGTTTTAGCGTCTTTCTGCATCCTTTTCCGCCTTGGTGGTCCCTGCATTTCATCTCTGCCAAATATCCCTAGGCCGGGCCTCTCAATGTCTTGTTCAACGCTATTCCGCCTACTTTTACCACAGAAACCTTTTGATTCATAGATACCACATTCACTTCCTAAAATATGTCTGCCTCTCACTCACATTTCCCATTTTTCCTCTATCAAATGCACTTTATAGGGTTATTTTTCTGTCACCTTTCTCCTGTTTTCAATCGCGTATTCACTCTCTACTATATTGTATTCCTTTTGTGATTAAAAGTTATACATAAATCATTCATCGCCTGCATCTGTTTGAATATAAAGTGAAGATGTACATGTTCTTTTATAAGTGCCGAGGATGTTTTAGATTATTATAAATTTATCATCAAAGATAAAGAAAAATAGATGGTGAGATAGACAGAAATCGAAGTAGCGAGGGCGGGAGAAGGATAGAGAGGTGGAAAGAGAGCGAAAGAAAAGAAGATATTTGGGAGATAGAGAGGGCGCTAGGAGAGGGAGCTAGGAGAGGGAGCTAGGAGAGGGAGCTAGGAGGGAAAGAGAGAGCGAGAGAGAGAGAGAGAGAGAGAGAAGGGGGCGGGCGGGCAAATATGGTCCTTCTAGTAGAGGTGTTGTGGTCGAGTGGATACGTCGCCGGACTGTCGATCACAAGGTCCGCGGTTCGAGTCCCGCCGCCGCACTAATGTCCTTTGGCAAGATATTGATCTACATTTGCCACACTTCACCCAGGTAGGAATTTATTCCTTGAAATGCTAGAGCGCTATAATGGCAGCACAGCTAAAGCCGGGGTAATAATATCCAAGTTTGGAAGCGCTTAGAGACTTATTGTGATAATTGCGCTATATAAAAGCTGAATATTATTATTATGTAATTGTCCAACTTTCAATCAAAAGGTAGTTTTTCTGTGCCTTCTTTGGTAACAGGAAATTTTATTTAGGTTAAAAAAAAAATCCCTGTAAAAAATCTTATATTATATCTTTTCTCTATCGATGAAAGTATCCTTTCGTTTCGACTGCTTTTCATGTTCTATTCAAGACAGTTAGTCCGAATTGTGTTCCGGATTTTCAGTGTTGCAGGTATAGGGGTAGTGATTGTCTTTGGTTATAAAGTAAGGAATTCGGCGATTGATCGAAGAGTAATTGTAGCCGGACCACGCATGCGTCGAGCATTTATCCACAAAACAGTGCTTGATACCTATTTCATACAGAAGTGTGATAGTAAAATGATAAATATATTAATCACAGTAAAAGTGGTAGCTATGATTTACATTGTCTGCCTGGTCTCCATTTTTTCTACTGATCCAGAGAAATGTGTTTCTGTTCCGTTAGGTTATCATATTCTCAAAGCAGATTTGCAAAAATAAAATCGAAAGAAATCGCACTTCTATTCTTTGTCATCCCTCGGAACCCTTACACAAATTAATGATGAATAAGAATAACCTTAGAACGAGGCTTGTGGTTTGAAATGCCAACAAAAGTAGATTTCCTTACAGATAACAATTGTCAGTAATTAAACTGTATTATACTGGCGGGGCATTAACAGAAGGGAAAAAAGGAAGAAAAGTAAATGACATAAAAACAAAATGAGACAAGTAGTGCAATAGAAAAGAACTATAAAAATAGATCTTGAATAAATAAAGTTCCGCCATGGATTTCAGAATTAAAAGAAGCCGGACAAAATGGACGTGCGCAAGAATTCGGCATACTCTGGATTACTCTGTTCTAACGACTGATGGCTCAGTCGTGAGAGCGCCCGTCTCATGAACGGGAGGTCATGGGTTCGAACCCCTGCCGAGTAATACCAAAGACTTATTACAATAGGACCTTCTGCCTTCTAGCTAGGCGCTCAGCATATTAGATTGGAGAAGGGTAGTAATAACATATTATGTTATGCAGGGCCCGCTGGAAGAGCAGTTTCATAACTGAAGTGGCTACCCTGGGTAAATAAAACGTTATTATTATTGTTATAATTATTTTATCAGATATTCGGTTAATTCACTTCAAAAGGGGCATTTTTATTTTGGACAATTTTGGACAATTTTATTTTGGACAATTGATGGCATTCAACTCCTACCCCCATCTCTAGTGGATACAACACTCCAGGCCAGGATTTCATTTTAGGGGGGGGGGGGCGGTAGTGAGCACGCGAAGAGCGCGCGAAGCGCGCTTCCTAGGGGGTTGGTGCAGGGAGGGGGAGTTTCCCCCCTGCGCGGAAGCTTTGAAAGAAGACGATTCGTTTTACCTTTCTCGACTCGTAAATACATATCTGTATTCAGTCCCCCTCCCGCGCGAAGCACGTAAGCTTTAACACTTCATTAATTTATTAGAGAAAGAAGACGATTCGATGTACCGTTCTCGACCCTTAATCCTTATCTGTATTCAGTCCCCCTCTTTTGAAGCGCGGAAGCTTTGACATTTCATTAATTTATTAGAGAAAGAAGACGATTCGATGTACCGTTCTCGACTCTTAATCCTTATCTGAATTCAGTCCTCCCCCTCCTCCTGCGCGAAGCGCGGAAGCTTTGACGTATTATTAGACAAAGAAGACGATCCGTTGTACCTTTCCCGACCCTTAATCCTTATCTGTATTCAGTCCCCCTCTTTCGAAGCGCGGAAGCTTTCACGTGTCATTAAATTATTAGAGAAAGAAGACCGTTCGTTGTACCGTTCTCGACTCCTTTTCCCTTTTTCTTCCTACGTTCTCTTACTTTTTTTCTTCTCTTTCTCTCTCTTTTTTTTGGGGGGGGGGGGGGGCGACCGCCCCACCGCCCCCTGGCTACCCGCCTGCAACACTCACACGAAGTGATATGTGCACACCCATTTTGTTTCCCAACAGGAATTATATCCCGCATATATAAGCACTCTCCTTATAATTGGACCATCTCAACGAAACTCGAGTCCAATAATACACATGCGATCGTGACCGATATAGGTAAATAGAAAATATAACTTACACCTCACATCGAAACTATGTTATCATAGAATAATCGTCGAAATCAGATTGTTGTTTTATGTTTCCCATTGATGTAGAGAACTAGATGCGAGGACATACGTACACGTAAAAGAAGTATGAGACTCTTATCAACATAGTTCATTCACTTCTAGAACTCATACCAACCATCGGACGATAAAAGGTAAAAACCGAATGAGAAGTTTGGTTAGAGTACATGTTTGAGGGAGGGGGGGGGGGGGGTGGGGGAGGGGGGAGGGGCAATTGACATAAAGCATCATTTCGATTTCAATATGGGTTTCAATTACCTGACGACATGGAGAATTTCCATCTATATTCCATACATAGATTTATCTTGTCCAAGGATACTAGCCCAAGCAAATAAGCAATATAATACAGGCGAAAGTTATCCAGCAGATATCAAATCTTTCTAAAACACTTTACCCTCTTGAGCCCCTTGGTGCCATCTGATCGTAGGTTTGTTTCAGTTCTGTGCAGTCATAATACAGTGTATTATCATTAAGCAAGAATGTGACACTCTATGACTTATATCAATTTTAAAGGTACTATGTCCCATTTGCAGGCCCAAAAAATGAAAAAGTTAAATTCCAACTGCATTTGAAAGATAATACTAATTTAGAACTTCCCTAAAAAAGGTGGGGCTTGAAAATGTCTTCAAGTGGGAAAATAATGACTATTAGTTGTCAAATCGACTTTAGGGCTATAGAGCCCAAAAGTAATAGTCTTGATTTTCAGACAATTGTACCGAATAGTCGTACGTTTTATGCTGCGCAAAGATTCAATCAGTTTAATCTTGGCCATCACAAGAAGTGGGTTAATGATGTAGACAAATGCTCATGTATCCTTTACAACTCTTTTCATGTATGTCATTACCAAAGAAGGAAAAAAGCCAGTCAGTCACTCAATAGTGTCTGACAGTGAAGTCTAGCAAGTAAATGGGTTTCCTTGCATAATTTGAATATGATGACACTGCTAACGTTTAAATTTCACAGATAGGACATACATGACATATTCATTATTCCTGCAAAGTTCTACAGAATTGGAGGTTGGCTGCAAAAGGGACATAGTACCTTTAAGAGGAGAAATGAATATTGATAAACAGTCTGAAAAATCAAATTCTAGATTGTTTGGCAAACTAAGCTTGCATCTCCTCATACAGTTAAAGGGTGCATCTCAAAATACAACTTTTAAAGTGCTTTTTTCCTTTAATGTCTATGTATGTAGAATTGTTACATGTAGTATCACCCACGATGAAAATAAAAGAAGGACTTCCAAAGGCACATGTTACATTTTCCAAGTTTTATTTTAATACATGTATTACGGTTATCACAGGTGCATACAGAATATGTGAAATGGAAATAATACATATCCATGTACATATAACAAACACATGTACATGTAAAACTATACAAACACATCATACACAATTTAAATAGACAAGAGTGCACTATTATTGCACAGGGTTATTGAATCATTCAGAATATATAAAAGAAGGTAAATGGAATATTTTTTCCTCTTCTTTTTGTTGAATTAATTAATACAGACTGTACAAGTATAATTTCTATATCATAATAATCACTAATATTATGTAACAAGTCCGTGAAATGTAGATAAATGTATATAAAATGCAAAAATAAAATGTATATGATTCTAAATTAGCAAATGCTAATACATAAATTAGGTGAAAATATTGTGGATATATTGTGAGAACATAAGACCCCGAAATGGGAAAGTAAAAGATAGTTAAAGAGAGAGAGAGAGAGACAGAGACAGAGAGAGAGAGAGAGAGAGAGAGAGAGAAGGGGAGAGAGAGGGGGAGAAAGGGTACATATTAAAACAAAGTGTGAGGGAGAAAGATGAATAAACGGCACACATGTCATTGAGAGAGAGAGAGAGAGAGAGAGAGAGAGAGAGAATAAAGACACAAAAGGAGACAGATAGAAGACATGAGAATCATGAGAATCAAGAGAGGGACAGATTGAAGAAAAAAAGAGGAATAATTCACATAGACCCATCACTAGAGGAAAAACATTTGGAATACAGATGATGGTCTGCAGAATATAAACTCTATTTGATCTTTGCTGAACCCAGGAGAATGCTGTATGCTCATAATATAAGGATCTACATGATGATCAGTGAGCTGTGCACCAACAGAGCAATAAGGACAGTAAACTTTGTATAACTTCACTCATTTTCTTGTGGTCAATAAAAATACAATACTTTCAGAATATGGCCTAGCTGTGAAGTTGAAGAGATCAAATTGATGTCAAACATAGTCATAAATTCATAATCCTGTAAAATAGAATCAATTTGATGAAAGAACACTCCTGATCCTTTGCAAGGGATGTTTGCATATCACTGCCAACATTTATAACTGGATTAGTTCTTATGGGACTGCCAAATGCCCGTCAACATATGTTAGGCATAACTGCAAACTATTTTTTTTTGTGCTCAGTGTAAGATGTTGGGCAAGACAGGGCTTTTTGCATAGAGGGTAAGTATCACCAACACCATATCATATCTTCTACACTTCAACATACTGAGGTGATAACACTATTATAGCTCCTTAATCTCCTTAGCTGTAGTTTTAGCTTACACAACTTGAACAGTAGAAAACCTTGATTTCAATATATCCAACATATTGATGAACCTAACAAGCCATATAAGGGTATATTCTGTTTGTGTTTATCCTATTGTTTATATTATCCTCAAGCAACCTACCCACATACATACATGCATAGAAGGGAACCAAGCCAAAGAAATCTGACCAGTGATTATCCTCTATGGCGCCATCAAGCTTGTATCATTTAATCAAAGTCTTGTTTTCTAGTGTACAACTGTACATCTTGATATATATTATTATTTCATGATTTATAATTGATGAAAACACTTTTTTTATTTCAAGAAGACTTTGTCCCCTCTCCCCCCCCCCCCAAAAAAAAGGTGTGATAGATACCACTGCATAACTGAAAGTATTAAGTACAGCAGAAGCATCTCCAAAAACAAGAATCTTTCACTTTTCTCTCTCCATCACTGAGCTTGATTTTACTCAGGATAAAAAAAAAAACAATCAAAAAGTTAATAACAATAATAACATGCCATAGTTATAAAGTGCATATTGCAACCATGTCTTTTATGCAATGTTAGGATTAAGAATCTTTCAAACCAACACTCTCAGGAGACATAGCCCTCAGATGACCACTATAATAATAATAATAAGAATGGTGTCTTCTTATATACCGCACATGTCCGTCACGTTGTGACACTCAAGGCGCTGCCCCGATTATTACCCTATAACCTCCTCTGGTTTCACCGTGCCTTCTACCATTGTTATCTGTAGGCTAGAAGAGGTTTGAATGTTGCATTATTAAGAACAGAGCTCAGAATTTCAGCCAAAAGTCAATCTTTTGGATAAAGATTTCTTGTTAAGGACTGATATGTCTTAAATGCAATGTACAAACTATTTCGTCTTCAAATAAAACCAGCTCCAAAAGGAAAGTTCTCACTATAGAATCTTCTTATGAGCTAAGTTGAAAGTTCTTCAAGAAATCCTGGATGTAATAGTGGGCCACAGCAGTGGAATGAACATCTACTGATGCGCTTCAGTATTCATAGATGAGGAGTACGATGTGAGTTAACTGAGATGCAATACCCATCTATAAGAACACTTGCATCCCTGTATTCAACCCTTAATGGCACCATACATGTAGTCTACACTCAAGAATGCTTCCACTTCATTAAGTTCATTTATTTGCAGCGTTAGCTTGTCTTACATGAAGACTGTTTTACATACAGCATCAGCCCACCGGTACCTCACATCAAAACATCTTCTTCTTAGCTGCTGTGTATCGCTCCATGTACTGAAAAGGAAAGAACATAGAAAGACAAATTATAACATAATAAATACACTGTAGATCTAACATATACATTTAAAATCATTTATGATAAGCTGTGGGTCAGAGGACTCCTTAATGGAATGAAAAATAATCCTTGTTATATCAGCTCAAGAAAACCCTCATATGGGAGATATGAAAGCAGTAAATATGATCTAGATTAACCTATCAATTCACATGCCCTATTTGTCTCAAGTACAACAAACTGTTCAATATAAGGTAGAACAGGTTAAAAGAATTTCCATTCATACATTTCATAGTACAAGTAATATTCCATTGACATGAAGTTGTGTTTGGAAATAGTCTGCATAAATCAGAGCGCATGATAGAGACATGGGCAGCCTTGTAGGGGATGTTGTATAATGCAAACGCAGCTAATTATGAATTCACATCTCAGCAAGTTGGATTAGGATTAGACTGAGTTAAGAGGTCACATATGATGTAGAGAGCTCTTGATGCCACGGATTGGTTGTAATCAAACACATATGGATTGTCTGTTACACATGGCTTTCATTCTACAGCAGCTCAATTGAAGTAGGATGTTGAACATGTAAAAATACCCATAGGAAGTGAAAAGCAAACAAGATTACTAGTAGTCCCTTCTCCGAAATTAAAGGTTATGTCTATAATAATGCTAATAGATTTCTCCTGAAAATGAATCAAATTGTGCTATAATAATATCAGAAATTGATTGAAAGTTTAAAGCTGTAAGTTAATCACTTAATGATTTTTGAAGATTTGTTTTGTGTCTCCTATTATGAGTTGTATACACCATTATGGAAGAAACATTTCACAGAGCTTGTTTGTTCATTTTGGATAGAATTGATCGTACATTCGTTGACTAGTACCTTTAAGATGGCCTTCAAGACAGTGATGGTATATAGCAGGGGCGGATCCACGTAGCGATTTTTTTGACCCAGGCCCCCTCCCCCAGCCCCCCAAAATGATAAAAAAATAGGATAATAATGTAAAGTTAACCTTTTTTAAAACTAAAAACAAAAGCGCTCCCCCCCAAAAAATTTATTCACCGACCGGCTGAGTCGGCGGTAAATTTTTCGTCAAAAACTCGATCAAAAAAAAAAGTGCTCCCCCCCCCGCTTATTCGCCGACCGGCTGAGTCAGCGCTAAATTTTGTATTAAGATTTCGCTTCCCCCCCCCCTTGTCGCCGGCCGGATCCTCTGTAGGCGCGGATCCGGGGGGGGGGGGGGGGGGGGGGGGGGGGGGGGCTGACGGTTCAACAACATATTTAAAAAAAAAAAAAAAATTCTCACAAATTAGGCCCCAAAATCAAAAATAGTGGTTTTACCAATCCCCTCCCCCCGCTTCTTCACCTGCTGGCTGAGTCTGCGTAAAATATTTCCTGAAAAATTGGACAAAAAAAGTGCCTCCTACCCCCCCCCCCTCTTATTCACCGGTGGCTGAGTCGCAACTAATATTTTCTCACGGATTGGGCCCCCCCTCTTCCCGCCGGCTGGATCCGCCACTGGTATATAGAGCAACTTGACACTAGAGGAAATCTCAAATCTCAATCAATTACCAGTCAACTTCAAATGACAAACCTGATGATAAATCATCTCTGACATTACAGACCGATGTCCAAATTATGGGCAAGCTAAGAGATTGCAATCACACATGTTTACACAGTTTACCAGAAACATTCTCAAATTAATTTAGTTTTGATGAAAATCGAATGTGAGGAAGTATGTTTCATTCAGGTGAATGAGGTGATGAAAGAGATTCTCAAAATCAAATTCTAAGACATTTACTTTTTCATCCATTCTGATATGAACATCCTTTAAAAAAAAAATCCCATCCTATAAAATATGGTTTACAAATCAACCATCAAACAGAAATTGAATGAAACTGATTGTAGAGCTTTACACCTCATAAGAAAGTAAAATGAAAGTCAATCTGAAATGCTATGTTGCTAACATTATCAATAATTTGTTTGGGTACTCTTCTAGTCTTCAATAAAGTATTGCTCCTATCATTAGTCAAAGACTACATGCGATAGAAGAGTTTGTGTCTAAGAATTAAGTGCATGTACTAGTATTCAGCTCTGTATAGACAGTACTACATGTATCTCAAGTTACTGTTTATAGAATTAAAAAAATGTGATTTAAGTTTAACCTAGGAATCTGAAAAAATGTCTATTAAACTTACAAGAGTTGGAACATGTTTCATACCAGATAAAAGAAATTAATTTAGATATCATTGACTTCAGTGGTATATTAGCTAATACCATGCTGTGAACTCCAATGATATACAGGTACGGTACATGTACTGTAAGGGCTGAATACATCCATTATTTTTGTTTCTTAACAAAAACAAAATAAAGCAATGTATCTTCTCTTTAATTTATGACCTTTGGATTAGAGTTTTGATTCTTTGAAGTGCATGATGGTGAGTTGATTAGTGTATGTATGTAAAAGAGCTTAGTCAGTCAGAGTGTGACTGGATGAGGAAATCATTGCCACATCAAGTGTAGATAGGTTTCCTCTGTTCTACTAGCAGAAATCCTCTCACCTTTTCATATCCGTCAATCTCCTGGAACTTTTTCATCTCAAAGAGGTTTCCATCAAGAGCTAGTAGCGAGACATGTGAGTCTGTGAGTAACTTGGTTGGTAGAGCATTGATGTGAAGACAATTCTCTTCTAATCTCAACACCTTCAGTCTAGGGCACTGGGATACACACTCAGATATCGTTGAGATCTGCAGACAACAAAAGTAGGAACATTCAACATTTACTTGATGCAATTTCTAGAACATGCTTAACCAGGGGTGCCTAAAGAGATTAATGATAAAGGCAATAAAAATAGAAAAATGCAATAAGAAAATAAGATGTAATCTCGGTTATGTTTTTTATACAGATTCCTGCTAAAAGGTCTGTTTTACTTTAAATTTATTGTAACTTGTCATAAAGAACAAGAAAATCTTACAGCAGTTTTGAATTGTGGTTGTCCTCATCAGTATCTTAAAATTTGGTTCATAAACTTATTTGTACCTACATGTAGCTCCATATGAATATTAAATGAGGAAGGTATTATATAGCAATAAAACAATGATACCTTTACATAACAATAATAGTAATATTAATAAAAGAAATAATAATAATATAATGATGATGACATTAGTGAACATAATAATAATAATAATAACAATAATAATGATAGTAATAAGACTATATCAATTATAATAATGCAATACATCATTGATACTTGTAAAAACTTATCATCATTCCACCTCACTTGGTATAAATGTATATTATTTTCGATGCATGACTTTATCTTTGTTTTAATGCTTTGTTTTTGTTTTCTGTCAACTCAAAGATTGTTTGATTGAATTTTTGTATGAGTGTTTATGTTATATATGTGTAACTACATGTATATACCATGTAACTCAACGAATTTCCATTGTTAAATGGACAATAAATATGAACCTTATGAACCTTAACTTAGATTACCCAGGGCATGATAGAGTCTGGGCACTTCCGCACACATGTAATAATAATAATAATAATAATAACAACATTTATAATGCGCACATATCCACCCCAAGAGATGCTCAAGGCATTTTGATGATGATAACAGATATACTCATATTTTTCTTGTTGTGATAGTTTTGTTCTGACAGATAAATTATTTGAAAACAGATAATCCCAAAATGGCTGAGTGAAATGGTCTGGTAGAATAGAAGTGAAAAATGCAAGCTGAAAACAATTTTTATTATATTTTTTTATTTTGTTCTTAGTTTTTGCTATAAATTTGGCATAATCATCTCTCACCGATCTAAAAAAAAAACACAAGCTAAAGATGCCCCATGTTAAAGCCTGAATATCTTGACAAAAGTCATCTGGCAATTCAGAAACTCAATACTGATGGACATGTAGAAATGATAATTGAAAGGAAAGCAGCAACTGAATTGATTCAGGATCTGAACAGGTATATCTGTTTTAAGAAATCAATCATGTCATATGAAATTTGATTTAGAGGAAAGTGAATTAAGATGAGGTTTGAGTTGATTGTGATGGTCTTTGTCAGAGCTTCAATCTGATTGCTCTTATATTCCAGTTTCCTTGATCACATCACACAGTTTGCAAATCCTCTTCTTCCTTACTTTTCTCAAGAGAAAAATGAATGTTTCCAGCCAAAACCAAGGATAGGATAAATCTCCCAATCATATAGTACATGTACATATCAGCTTACAGTTTATGGATAGAGATCACATTTCTTGTTACAAATACAGCACTAAAATTCAGAAATATTAACTGACAAAGAGAAGGCACTTGAGTAAGAAGCCAATAAGAGGTCACGGAAAGGGTACCATCTTCTGTACATGTACAAAGATTGGCTCAAACATCAATATTCCTTTGCATATAAAGGTTTAATGCTTTATTGCAGAACAGAGTACAAAGGTTTCTGAACAAAAACAAAGTATATGAGGCAGAGGCAAATTATATCATACAGGGTAGCAAGGGGGAGAAGCACCCACCCATGATGTCCCCCATGGTGGTTGTAAGGAGTGGTTTATGGGCCATACAGGTTTATAGCAAGGGGGAGGGGGTAAGCACCCACTCATAATGTCCCCTATGGTGGTTGTAGGGAGTGGTATATGGGCCATACAGGTTAGCAAGGGGGAGGGGGTAAGCACCCACCCATAATGCCCCCATGGTGGTTGTAAGGAGTGGTATATGGGCCATACAGGTTAGCAAGGGGGAGGGGGTAAGCACCCACCCATAATGCCCCCATGGTGGTTGTAAGGAGTGGTATATGGGCCATACAGGTTAGCAAGGGGGAGGGGGGGGGGGGAGGGGGTAAGCACCCACCCATGATGTCCCCCATGGTGGTTGTAAGGGGTGGTTGTAAGGAGTGGTATATGGGTCATACAGGATAGCAATAGTAGTCCCTAGAGACAGCAGACATCCTCCCTAGACCAAGGAATACTAGTCAAGTTCAAGGTACAACGAGAGCAACACATATCAGCCAAACTTCCGATTACTTGTGACATACACAACCATTATCAGGATGTAGGCAGGACAGAACTGGATTGACCACGATGTCAGATCACGGGCGGGTGGGAGCACCAATCATACAACTGACTACTCACAGAAATGAAGGGAAAAGATTTGAGAGAAAGGGTGCGAGTACAGGAGAGAGAGAGAGAGAGAGAGAGAGAGAGAGAGAGAGGGGGGGGGGGGGAGAGGGGGGGGGGGGCTGGGGAGGGAAAGGAAGTGAATCAGAAACAGATAGATAGTCAAAGTGTAAGAGATAATGATGTTAGAGGAAAGAATAGAAGGGGAGAGAAGGAAGAGAGAGGAGAGGAGGAAAATAGAAGTAAGAAGCAATCAAATTGAACACAATCAGGAAGAGAAGAATCTTCAGATTCATCTCTTCCTAATCCAGAGCATTTCATCTGTCATAAAAAAAACTCAATTTCCTTACTTATCAAGGTCATAATGTGGTGTAATACAAACAAGGTTTTTTAAAAATATAAAAACCTATAGCAGGTCATAAAACTGAATACAAACAGCATCTGATGAAAAACATCTCATTTGAAGCATCTGAACAAACAACATCATTTCCCTTTCCTTTCACTGGAATCTATCTTAGGTAATGAAAGTACAATCGCTGTGGAAAGTGACATTTCCACCAAAAGTCCTGTTCTTCCAATCAATGAGTGAAACTATTGTTTCTATTCTAATTTTAGTGACTAAGTACACACATTACCCCCAGTTTCAGGCTAATCAATTGTTATTGCGTTTGGTTCAATACACTCACATGACTGCAATTAAAATGGTATGGGAATCTATTGTTAGATGAACTTTGTTTAGACGTGGTGAAATAAAAGAGGTTAACAAGTTTCCGGTTGTACCACAAATTGCACACAATGCCTGGTTCACATTTATCATACAAATTCAAACACTGAAAGCATTTTTTCTCTCCATCTATTATGAAGTATAGAGCTGTTTACTTTGAGATATATATATGCAACTTTATCATTGCATTTTTACATGAATAGCCAATTTCGAAACAATACCCAACATGTAAAATTGTGATTCAAGAGCATTACATATCATCTAATATTACCATCATGATTACCATCATGATTATCAGCATATAAGAAAGAAAAGGTAACCCTGGATATTGACTTTGATTGACCATGTAATCTCAGCAAGTTTTTTTTGCTGATTAGATTCCTAGGTTGTTTTGGTCAAGTAGAGCTTCTAGAGTTTAGAAATGACCAGACAGGACAGGGGCAGGATTTGGCCATTTCATACTGGCCTTTCTAAAGTTCATTATGACAGGTCAAAACACAACCAATATTATCTGATACCGATAGATTGATTGAATCCTGATCTCATCCTGGCTGTGGTCCACTCTCAATTCATGCCACTTCCTTTCAGCACAAGGACATATTCTATGTTTAAATTAACAATATATTCTGCCAGATATGATTACATTAATACCCCCTTTCATACTTTGAGGGCATTAGCAGAACGGAGATTGAACTAAGCCCCCCAAAACAACCCTGACCTAAAATTCATTCTGTCTCAAACACCCATCAACATTTATTCAAAAAGACAGAAATAGAAAGTTTCCAACCTAATGATTACCATATTTCTATTTCTTTGTTTATAGCATGTTTATCCTGGTGTTCCATTTACCTTCAAAACAAATCAACGTCATATGAAGAGTAATGAGGTATGCATAGGATAAATCATGAGCTGCATTTCTAAAGGATATCAGTGATTGTTCAATTTTGTACAATCCAGGAACCACCTCAGTACATTGCATAGCATTCTTCAGGATGAAGAAAAATGCATAATGTTTTCTGTATACAGTGTCATCAGCCTTTGACTCTTTAGTTTATCAACCTTCTAGTATTTGTGTGATATTCATTAACTCATTTTGGTATATTCTTTGTTTTTGTTTTTTATAATTTTAATGATGAAAATACAAGATAAAAGATTGTTCACGAGAATGGAAGAACTACACATGACATGACTTTGGTTCTTGTTACATGGTGTGTTTAAGGGAGAGCCTAAGGATAAGGTGAGCAAGTAGAATATAGAAGAATCAAAGAGGAGATGGCTAGAGAGTGCAGGAAAGGACAGAATGCTTGTTGAACCTGGGCATATTTGGTTAGAAGGGATATAGAATGAAGGAGCAGTAGGATGGTATAAGGCTGCGTTCAACCAACACTTTTTCACCCTAGAATCACGGTTTTCAAAGACGCTTAGTTTAAAACACATTTGCGTTCAAATGATTTTTTGTTGGTCGTAAAAATAAACGTGTTTAAAAACACAAACATGAAATGCTGAAAAAGATGCGTTTTGTATCGTGATTCTGATTGCTAAAATTCGCTTGAACGAATGGAAATCTCAATCATGATTCAATGACGTCATTATCGTGGCCTGTTTCGGTTTGACCGACAGTTGACCGTATTAAACACAGACAGAAAGCACGCGGCCAAGTTGAACTGCACAGTGTGATGAGCAGATGGCTGGGCTTGAAATGAGCGAGAATCAGCGTTGATGAAAATTCGATTGAACGCTCTCCCGCAGTAACCATGTTTTTAACAGCGTTTTGAATTGTGATTCATGTTTGTGATTCTAGCTTCAAAAAATTACTTGAACGCACCCTTAAAGGAGAAAGGGTTAAAGCAGGGATTTGCCATTCAGACTCCCTGGTGAAAGATTATAACAAAGGCCAAAGATGGATGAAAGATGAGAGGAGAAATGGGAAGGGAAGATGGTACTAATGAATGTACATGAAGACAGATGGAAGAAAGGATGGTTAGAAGCAAATAGGGCGTGTTCATGCTCAACTTTTTCTGGCCAGAATCAGGCATCTGTTACGCGTTTAGTTTAAAACACGGTTGCGTCCATGCTCACTTTTGTAGAATCATCGAAAAACGGCGATCACGCCGATCGTAAACTCACAAAAAGATGTGTTTACAATTTGTAAATGCGTTTAAATGGGGTCAACGCACTGACCTCTAGTGGGTCTACGTAGCATGCACAGTGTAGGTTGCGAATCCAGCTACAAGGCCAATTAAGGCCACACAGGGAGAATTGCCTGGAGGAGCCAGAGAAGTAAGCATAAACAGTACACCGTGGAACTGCGATTACGATGAGCGTTAACGATGAGCGTTTCAGATCGCTCATTCTACCTTCAAAATCAAGCATAAACGCAGCCATAGACTGGTATAATGAGGGAGAGAGGAAGTGGAGGAGAAAGGGCAACTAAGGAGGGTAAAAAAGAAACAGGGAGGAGAGGATAATGTGAAGTAGGATCTTAAAAACTTGTTTCCTCTCCAAGACAGCTGACAAACACTGTAGGATCTGTACACTTTATGAAGGTCATAGTATGAAATATTAATTAGTAGATGGCAAGAGGCCATAAAGATGTCCTGTTATGAGAGAGAGAAGTACAGTTGGTATGAGAAGGAGGAGATTAATTTGACCTTGGCAGTAAGGACACATATAAGAAGCTTGTTGTGTATAGCTTCGTTTAGTCCAGCTGGGAAATCAACCTTCTCTTGGATGACAACAATCCAATCAGTGCTGATATCTCTTTTACCTGATGGGCGTAATACCAGTACCCTAGTTTAGAAGTTATAACCAGCCTGGTCTAGTTTGAGTTGTTATTCTACCAGACTACCATGGCTTCTTATTCAACTCTTCCTTCAAATTACTTCAATCTTCCTCATATATTAATTGTCTTACTTTGTTAAACAACACGCAGTATCAAAGCAAGCTTATTCTACATTCTTAAATGCTTTTATTCCAATCTAGTACAGTGTACTTGCGTTGTGTAATAAAAGTGCATTAAAACACTGATGCATATCAAGCAATCTAATCACTGATATTACACAATAATAATAATAATAACAATAAAAATAAAAACAGGGCTCATACAGCGCTTACCACTGAAGTCTCTAAGCTCTAAGCAATGACTGTGTGTGTACCAGTATCAATGTATTTCAGGAGAGTATGGAAATAATGAGAAAAGGTAAACTTCATACGAGAAGATACGGCAATAATTGAAATGGAGAGGAGTGGAGAGAGTTCAATGACCTACAGGTACATCATGTACTGTACATGTGCTAATATACATTGTTACAAATTCACTCAGTAATTAACCTTACTAATGGGGAATGTAGATAGACTAGTATGTAAGCATTGTTGATTTTTAATATTAATAGATTGTGATCTACACAACTTTCAAGTTTAATAATGAATAAGAGTTTGGGGTAACATGAGTTTGTGATCGACAGACAAGGTGATGCCATCTATGAAATTCATTTATTTGATGCACAATTGTACAACTCATGGAAATATCAACCAATGTACAGTATCAATTAATCTTGTATGTAAAAATTAGTCTCTAATAGAACTAAACAGCTTGTTAACACTCACAATGCTCTTTATTTCCACTAGCAGCCTAGCACCGGCCATCCTCTAGCCAATATCTTAAAGTGTTTATACCTTGGCCAACATGACTCAAGCTCAGTACAAATTATGATGTCAACTTTGGTTGTCATTTTGGCGATTCTCAAAATTGTAAATCTCATTAACAGATAGGCTGATGGGGAATCCTGGTTACAATTATAGACTGTGATGACTTTAACAAGTTTGATTGAATCTACACACAAAGCATGTCTGTGTCTTTTCCATTTCCGTTCCATGATGATGGAGTGAGCTGGAGTGTAGATTGAACTCTGGTTCTAGACTCATCATACCTTACCATCTAGTACTGGTAGATGGAATCGTTTAAAGGTGGATAGAGGCCAACATCACAATATACCCCTCTTCCTTATAACAAAATGCGTTCTTTATGATTCAACATTAGAAGTGAAATTATTTGATGACAACACATTAGATACAAAAACTGCAGGCATGATTTGCCTGGTCATTTCAAACCAACTATTAAAACTTGTCTCACTCTCTCTTTCTCATGTCAAGTATCTTTTCCCAATTTCAACAACAAAATCATTTAAATCCTTACCCCAGTGCATGTGTGTCTTTTGACTAAGCATCTAAATCCTTGCCCCATGCAGTGCATGTGTGTCTTTTGACTAGGCATCTAAATACAGATGCCTCCAACTACCCAGGTGTAGTTTATGGGTACGGAGCAGAAACATCTTGTAAATGCACTATGCGCTGAGTTAGATGCCTCAAAATCTAAACCCAGGGAAATTACTTCTCATATATGCAATGCAAATATTTCCTAATACATGTACAACCCACTAAGAAATATTAGACCTACTATTGTCTATGCTTAGATTCGAGTGTGGGTGGATGTCGTGTTGACATCACTAAAAAAATTTGTAAGATTGAAAATGAAAGATTTATTACCTGATTTTGGTTGAGATTGATTTCAATAGTTTGGATAGTCTGACAGCCATCAGGTAACTCTGTAATGAGGTTCTTCGATAGATCCAGCACATCTAGATGTCTAAGAGCCCCTATGTCCGTAGGAAAGTTCTTGATCTGATTGCCAGATAGATGAAGAGCTTTTAGAGAGGATAGTGTAGTGATTGATGATGGGATACACGTCAAACGGTTTCCACACAAGTACAGTGTATCAAGCTTCTTTAATGTAAAGAACTCTTCCGGAAAGTGAGCTAGAGATACAAAAGATAAAAGCAAAATAAGTCATGAAAAAAAAATTTGTTGTAAGTGGTTCATCCAAACAAAACATGTGAACATACTACACAAAAGGCTATTCATCATCCATAATTGAATATTTGAAGCAAAATATTTATTTGAGTTCAGGTTTAAGCTTCCATAATCTAGTAAACACTGTGAACATGATTATTTGAGAATCAAAACCGTTTGAGTTCATGAGGAGGAGGCACGGGTGGACAATTATTGTATCAAAAGTATTATCCTTTGTTCAAGTCAAAATGTAACGTACAGTACCAAGAATAAGTTTTACAATATCTACTGTTAAAGTTGTACACAATTTATTTGTAATGCCCTTAACTTATCTACCCTTTAGAGACTGTCAATACAATATTAGCAAATATCTACAAATAGTAATGTATGTTAGGTGGACATTGTTCAAAGAGCATTATGTAATTTTCGTCCATTCAACAAAAACAAAACAAAATATTTGGCTAAAAAGCAGATTTACAGCTGGAACAGTTACAATTTGTGACTTTGCAAGATGATAAATTCAAAAGGAATTAACAATTTGAAAGCAGTAAGACTCAGGACATTGTGCAGGGCCTATGCAGAAACATACAGAGAAAGAAGTGACCTAAAATGTTGAATGTCTACAGGCAACAAACAAAGTAAAATGCTGTTAAAGTCATGAAGGACCTGAGCACACGAGAGAAATCAAGCTGTAAATGAAATCAATGCAGTCTAATGACGAGTTGAGTGATATGATAATTACTATGCGATGCCAGCCATAACTTTTAGCTTACCAAATCTGATTACCAATGCAGATTGAGATTAACTTGTTACATTGCATTTCATGAAAACAAAACATATCCATCTGCTGCAATCTGCAGAATTTGTTGAAAGAATGCAGTGAATAAAATATTAATTTCTACCATTGTGAATTAGATTATCTCTGTGTGTCATACTTCAATTAGAATGTTATTATCCATTACAATACAACAAGAAAGACATTTATTACATTGAAATATATATGCATGATCCATGTAAAGTATTGAAATGAAAGGAACAGTCATGAAAAATTGTACATATATGGAAGTGATAAGGATTGGTAATATTATTTTCTTCTTTAGTGTTCATATCACCTGCTTCACCTAGACTAGAAATGAAGATTAATGTCTTGCAGAAGAATTATGCATGGGATTGAACCTATGACCTTCCGATCTTCAATGTTTCACCTCACTGACTTAGAAATCTCTATCATTTCTTCTGCTGAATTTTACTTATACTGTTTTCACACTGGCAATATTTTGCTTAACCCCGTACTATAGGTGGGGTTAAGGGGGGGGGGGGGGTCTTAGCCCCACCTATAGTAGGGGATTAAGCCTATTCCACTTTCTGTTCAGACTGGTTTTTACCAAAGTGGGCTAAAGTTGGCTAACCCCACCTATAGTACGGGGTTAACTAACCCTGCAAAATAGCAGGGCTAACTCCGCAATTGTGGTGCTAAGCAAATGAATGAGAACAGAAACGACAAATAGTCCGGTACTACGCAATGGAGTGTATCGCAGCTGGCCTGTATGTCCAATCATAACATACACGATATCTGGGGTTAACGAAATGCAGTGAGAACAGCGGAGTTTTCTTATTCCGGAATAGGCGCTAGTACGGGCTAAAGACAGCGTGTGTGAAACTGAAAAGCCAAAAAAATAGTCCGGGGTTAAGGATAGCACGGGGCTAAGCAAAGTACGGGGTTAAGCAAAACCAGTGTGAAAAGAGTATAAGGGTACTATCTTCAATCAAGCAATTAAAAGATAGTAAGATTTGTTTTTAGACACTGCCTATCTCTTTGAAAAATACATTACAAAAACCAGAAAGGATACTTTCATAACTATGAATTAATCTTCATGATATCATTCTGTAGATTGAATTCATCTTTGGTTTTCCATGTATACACATCTTTTGCACAAATTTAATATTTGAAGGAAACCATTAATAAATGATTTCATTGCTTAGAAACAGATCCATTCCTTTTGGAATGTAAAGCTCAATCAATCAAGCTTGTCATGATAATCAATTCAGAATGATATGAGTATATAAAACTACGGGGAATCAGTGTCATGAAGTAATTGATGTGATTTACGTTTACTACTAATATCTGAGAAAACCTTTACATCCTGCGAGTCTTTCCAGAAATCTCTACATAGGCCTTTAGTAATCAATCATCACGAGGCAACTTTTCGGAGTAAAACATTGGCTGATATGAGGGTTACAATAAGATACCTTCTTGCTAAGATATTTCCCTCCCATTTTGCACCGATCAAATTATCAAATATTTCTTAGGAGTGATCTTGACCTTTGACCCATGACCTAGTATGGGTAGGAAGGTCATGGCTCAAATTGCTCGACCTGTCAATCAAACACTCCAAACAGGGTCAGAGGTCACATAATCAAAACAATTGTGGTTACAATCAAAAAACGAAAATGCACTCATGACTCGCTTATCATAGTATCTGTCCCTATTTCAACACTTGAGTTTACCTAGATATCAAATTACTTCAGACCCTGGCACCATTCTAGCTAGCAAACTATATAGGCCTACATGGCTTTTTATACACAGGTAATCAAAGCAACTATTCTTTACAGGTACAATTTAACTTTATACTTCTGCACTTTGATTTGAATCAATTCCATATTGTTAGAAATGAATATCAAAAGTAAAACATACACATAAAAGCTGCATGCCTTGAATCACTAATAACAAAGACCTATGACCTTTTAATATTAAGTTTTGATGCTAATGTTGCAACACACAATGAATTGATGCTGTAGTTATTTGCAAATTTCATTTGATCGACAAACAGGTACATTTCAAGTAGTATTCTTGGCTATTTTATTGGGCATGTCATTTAATTGTAAGACTACTTTTAATTCCATGCAAAAATTACAGAGATCTTGTGCCTGCAACAACTCTAGGGAGTAATTCAAATTTTAAAACAAATGAACATGTACATACTAAATGTTTTATTTGTCATTATTTGTTTGTTATTTATTCATTTTTCTTTAAGAGAATTTTCGCATATTTTTCAAATACTAACAAGATCAGTTTAGTAATATAATTAATGCACTGTCAAAAAAGAAAATTAAATTGTAACATGAACATAAGAGGATCATTAGAGGCTGTTAACATAGTATTCAATACTTATAGAGCCAAAGTAGACATATTTTGCTTACTACTAAAGGAAGATTTTCTTTCTCATTTAATTAATTTAAACAACAACAATGCAACTGTTATTTGATTACAGCGACATAAGATACATGTACATTCTTTCTGGAATTGTACAATATCCAATTTCTAGCACCTCCATATGAAGCGCAATAGATGGATGAAATATAATTCATCATTCTTTATGCCCAAAGTTCAAGGCTATGTTGTTTATCACAACATCCATCATCTTAACATGTCTTTAGCTTGTCATGTTTATTTCAGGTTTGGTATACCCATCACTTGACAAGAACTTCAACTTGGGTAGATGTACTTTGCCAGTGGCTAGCTCTAGAGGGATGCTACATACCAAGCAAGGAATTAGATAAATTTGATATTCTTACAATATTCAACATTTTCCTGTCACATGTCAAGAAAAAAACAGAGGTAGATCATAAACGACACATTTGTGAAGGTCTGGTGAATGCTTATCTTGTATTTAAAAAAGTGAGACAGTTGAGATTTGTATTCAGAGTGTACATTCAAAGAGGTCTTTGAACTTTACAGACAAGTAATTTGGAAGAGTTTACTGGCCATGGAGGTACTGAACTCTCAATATCACACTTTGTAAAATCTTCTAAATAGAATGTTTAATAACACTAATGCTGCTTATTGCTTGGCTGATATGCTTCTGTGATTGTGCTCACTATAAATATCTTTCTATATGCAGTTAGATTTGAAGCAAATTATTGTGCCTTTAAATAGGAGTATGCCAATGAGGTGAATTCCTTCATTTCAATGAGAGACGTTGAGGTTCTATTCTTAGGAGTTTTCTTCAAGGAATGCACCAAGTGATGAGAGTGAAATACCTTGGCATTAAGTCTTTAGAGTGTAAACGAGGTAGAATTGATGTAGGAGCCAGGATTCTCACACCTAGCCATCTATAGCAATTAGATCTAGTTAGCCGGTTTGCTTGCGTGCGATGTAGCCATGCTGTGAAGGGTTGAGTCTACATACATCTGTTCTGGTTATCACCTCCTATACATGTAGTAAGACAAGATGTCTTCACACATTGCCTGACGTTCTCTGACATATAAGATTCTTAATCTCATCATAAACAAAAAGCATAACAAGTTTGGTAAGTTTCAGACATGCAGCCAGCTCATTCTCCATGTCATTTCAGAAACGTGAGAGGAAGTTGAGCCTGAAGTCTCAAACCTCACAAGCCTTGGCTTCTCACTCTCTTTCAGCTTCTTTCAGCTTCTTTCAAAAAGGTTGAACATAGGTCACAATTATAGCTCCACATGGAATTTTCAAAAATATACATGAATGCAAACAAACTAAAATTTATATTATATGATATACATGTAGGCCTATAATTTAATAGGCTCATCATTTATTATCCACACAACTTAAAGCTGCTGTGGAATAGCAAGTGGAATACAATATTCATGGTCTTGTTAAAACCTAAATTTTGAATTTTAAGACTTTTATTTATAAAAAAAAAAGCCATAACCTCCCATGCACCTTCATCCCATGAAAATAATTTAGAAGCTTCACTTTAAAGGGATTATTTAACAATGTTAAATCTGAGATACACGGCCCTACCTGTTATCAGTGTCTGTAATATGGTGTAATATTGAAGCCCTAAAATAATTGCGCTTCGAAATGATCAAAAAGTGCCTCAAAAAAGTAAAAATCTTTGAGTGACCGGTTTTACCATACTCATTTTCCCCAATAGACTGTAGTGTTATGAAAACCGTTTGGCAAACGGTTTTCAAAATTTGTAATTTCAATCATAAATATCTTGATAATCAGACAGGCGATGGGCTTGTAAAATTCAATGGCTTCCTGACTGACCTAAAGGTTTATAATTATCATTGCAGCATGAGTTAAATCCAGAATCTTGTTTCAGAATCTGACACAAAGTTACCGGATCCCTTTAATGAGAATTTGACTTTTAAGTTACAACTATTGAATGTGTCTGAAAATATGTTTAAAAAGACCTATTTTTACATCAAGTTGCTAGACGTGTATGCTCTCTCTCTCTCTCTTCTACTGTTGTTGCGTTGAATATCAATGTCTAGCATGGGTAAAGTTTGTTTGCCTAATGCTTGCTGTGAACATGTCAACCAGGTGCAAACTAATTGAGTTACTCTAGCTCACCTCCCATCTAACAGGCACAACTCATGTCAATGCTTATCACAATTCCCTTCTTAAACTTTTACCGATTGTCTTCATAGGAAGAAGAAATATTTATTATGAAAATATGCAGACTCTGTAAATATGCATGTCTGCACAAGTAGATGAAATATGTGTACATTCACACTCACCAAGTCTATTTGAATTAGCTGTGAAGCTTCTTAAGTGCTGAAATGTACCAATAGCTGGAGGAAGAGAAGGCAGTTTGTTGTCTGAGAGGTCCAATGTTCGTAGATTGGACACTAATCTTAGCAGGTCTCCAGGGAACTAAGAAGATCAAAAAAGAAGGACAAGATTAATACAACTTGCACGCTATCTCAATTATACCTGTTAGACTCAACTAAAAATTTGGCACAGTATCAGTCGGGTAACAGCAACTTTTTATAATCTTTTTTTCTTCAACATGCAAATAAAAAAAGGGGCACACACCCCCTAAAAAGCTTACAAGTACTCGGTTGAAATCATTGTCAATGGTAATATTCTGCAGTGATCTTCAGTCAGATCTTCAAATATGTATGTTTGTCCTCATTGGAACCTTCAGGCTTTGTCAAATAAAAATTAATTGCTTGGAAAATACAATGAAATTCTATCCAAAAGAAGAAAAGTACATCCCGATGGGGGAAGCGGTTTTCCTGATCCCCTGTAAACATGTATTTTCAGCACTGTTTCTAAGCCATCAGACATTTTTCTTCTTCTTCTATAGAACGCACTTGAAAACATGAAGGAAAACATAGTTTTTTAGTTGTGTAAATGCTCTAATGGACTAAGACTGCATTCTAAACCTGACAATTACACATAATTTGACTATGACACAAGAAGGAATAACAAACAAAAATGGATGCAAAAATTGAAACATCAAATGAAAACATATCATACAAAACTCAATCCCTGGAACAAAATAAGCCTGAACTTATTTGTTTCTCATAGTTGTAGGACAATGGTAAATAAAATATAAGCCTACTTGTGGTAAATGATAGCAACACTTTTTGTCAATTTGACACATTTGACAATGATTTCCATAAACACATATAATTCTAACACATCATGGAGCTGGAACAACATTATATTTGAGAGACCTTTATTGCATCTTTATTGCATAAATCATGCAATAATAGTAAACCAATATATTATGTCTGATGAGTCAGTATGATTACAAGCCCAAGAACTATTTAATATTGACAAAAATCATGAACTTTTGACCCGGTATTTATCATTGAGCTCAAAGGGCTATTTCATTGCCAACTAAAAACGCAATTAGTCGATGCCAATCAAGCACTAAGCTTCAAACAGAAATGAATGCCAACAAAAAACTTTTTGAAGGCCTGTTTAAAAATCCCCTCAAATTTCCTGCATAACTTGATGTATGAAAGGGCTGTTTCAACCACAAATCCATCCCGGTTAAGAGCTCCCTAGACATCTGACACGATCCTAAGGGATCAAAATAAACATAGACTAAAATGGCACAGAAAAACTATGAAAGGATAATATTTGGTAAAAACTCTATGGTAAGTAAGGAAACACCAATTTAAATACAAGCAGTGGAGCTTCACTTCAAACTAAGAATTAAAAAACAAAAACAATATGACTTGTTATCTTTCAAGAATGAAACATCGTGATAAAGTTTAGGCCAACCAAATGTGGTCAGTAGTGGCAAAGTGGCAAAACATGGCAAAAACTTGTCAGAAATGCTTAGCAGGGTATTCTGAAAATCACAATATACATTAGATCTAAAATACAGAAAAACATGGAGTAACATTGCTAGAAGACTATGCAGGTGGTCTGGATATACATGTACGTTAGTATGAGCTTATTACTCATGACCTCACATCTACTTTATAATTTATTTAGTAGATGGCATCTATATATGCAGTCATATTTTTGTTATTCTGTTAGACTTTATTTTCTTTTAACCAGACATCAAGATTTTATTTGGAAAGCAAGATTTAGAAATCAATCTTATGCACAGTTTTAGTGACATCAAGTCAAAAGTTACAATTGCATTGGAATCGTGCATTCATTGTCCTACTTTATAAGTTATGAAACTTACAAGTGATGTTATATCGGTACACCATACATATTCAACAAGTTCTGAATTCATTCAGCTTCAGTTCATATTATACAATACCTTTCAAAAAGACAATAATAGTCAGATCTTTGGAAAATGGCATTCAATTTACCCCCCCCCCCCAAAAAAAAAAAAAAAAAAAAAAAAATGTACACACGTTTGTTATCCTCTCAGTTTGACTATTACACTTTCTTTCATCCTTCATTGTTTGTTGTGTGTGTCATTTGGGACTTGTAGCTTTAGCAGGTTTAACCTCTCTTGATGTACATTACATGGAAAGCCCTAGATACAACCAATTATCTTACTCTCATTTGCACGCATAAATACATTGGCCATAATCAACCAAAAGAGGGTAGTATTTCACTTCTGACAAAAGGATCTCCATATTCAATTCACAAACTTACATGATAAATATGTGTAAAATTCAAAGTAAGCATGCTTCTAAAACCTTCTTGAGCTTAAAGTGTACCATCAAAAATATACCATTACTATCAAGACTATTTTACTCATAGAAATCAATCATTAATGCTATGGTCACATTACCCAAAAGTAGCCTGCCCGGCCACCAAGCGGCAGCCGCCCAGGCACCGCTTGTTTTTAAGGCATCGCTCGGTCGCTGCTGAAGTTTTAGCGCGGAGTTAAAATTCGGGCGGCGCCTGCTCACTTTCACTCGCCGTCCAAACTACGCTCGGTGACCGGGCGGTCACCGCCCGGGCTCCGACCTAATCAAGCGTTCAGTCAAGCGATTTAGGTAAAAAATCGAAGCCGCTAGGTCAAAGGCTGTCGAGCAGTCGCCGCCCGGTGACCGCTGGGAGATCAGTCTGTCACTGGGTGGCGAGTCCAAAATTGGTCGGCAGCCTTTGACCTAGCGGCTTCGATTTTTGACCTAAATTCACTCGGCGGCGAACACCGAGCGTATTTTGGAGCCCCGCTGATCACTGGCCAGCCGCGTGCAATATCTTTAAAATCAGCCGGCGGCCGGTGGTAGACTGCTTGGGAATCGGTGGGCCACCGGTCGGTCACCGCACAGAAAAACTCCGCGATTTCGCCCAGTTTTGACCTAAAATCGACCGGCGACCGACGGGAAATCGACAGGGCACCGCCCAGGCATCGCTGGGGCTCTACAGCCTGCTCGACTTATTAGTAGTATTAGTAGTAGTAGCAAGCTTGAGTAGTAGTAGCTGGAGCGCTGTATAAATGGCAGCTAGGCTAAACATAATGCAAATACGATCAATTTTAAGAACTTCTCAATCTTGAAGGCTAATCCCTCTCCAAAAATAATTTGCTTTTAATAGATCTATACAGTGCATCCCAGAAAAAACGAAACCGAGAATTATCAATGTTTTATCATAACTTAGTCACATTTATAATCAATAAATGACACATATTTGGAAGGCTTAGACCTCCTCTTTCATCTGATGCAACTCATACGATGCATATTTTATGCATGAGTTATTTAAATCAATTTGAAGAGAGGAAACCAAAAAGTCACTTGGCGGACGGTATCTGAATTTCAAAGAGAAAATCACATTTCTAGATAGTTGAGTTTCTGTCCTTTCGTATGACACCTCAATCAGCAAAAATGAGCAAGGAATGACAAAGTTCTGTTTGTTTAAAGTAGTGCTTGCATTTCCATAATTTTATCAAACGAATTCGTTTTCACTGGCTGCCTGCCGTAGAAACAAGCAGAATTGACAACAGACTTGACTTGGTTTCGTTGACAATCAGCCATGCATGAAGTCTTTCGTTTACGGCTGATTGTCATTGAAACGGAGTTAAGTCCTTTGTCAACAGCATGAAAAATGCATGATATGAGATAGATCAAATGAAGAGGAGGATCTAAGTTTTCCAAATATGTGTCATTTATCAATTATAATTTTGATTAAAGGTAAAGACCAGGATTGGAAACGCCCCAATTTCAAAAAATGAAATGGAAGCTCTTATAACCAATCATGTGAAAGAATATGTTTTGACTAATACATGATGATAAAAAATTTCCCGGGAAACCACCTACTAATTGATATATTTGGTAAATTAGTTTATCTATTAGTATGTGAGAGATAAACGCACGTGTTGTGCACGTGTCGTGCACGTGTGCGTGGTCCCATATACATCTTTCTGTGTACAGTGCTTGTAACTTTACGAAGACTGGGCCAAATTTCTTATCATTTTGATGATTCCAGAACCTTGCAGTACACACCAATACTTATATGCTAGATGATCAACCTCTTCTGATCGATTCCACAACATTTCTTTCCCAATGCAGTCGCATGACCATAACTGGTCTATATTTTTTAGTTATGATAAAACATCGATAGATCTCGGTTTTGTTTTTTCTGGGACGCACTGTACAGAAAAACAAGAGAAACATGGCAAAATGAATTTTAGTGAAATAGTATATTTAATAAGGAAGTTATGATTTTGTTTTAAGTATGAAAAACTATGATTTAGTAAAATCCCTTAACAAATTGCCAATTTGAAGAATTGGATAATTTTTTTCTGAATATTGTATATTCATAATCATTGATTTTTATATAAAAAGTTTATAAAAATTCACAATTTTCATGATTTAACTGAAGACGAAAATTTCTGCATCCACACAAAATAACTGGTGTGAGGTGTGAGGATGCTGGTGGAAAAGGACATTTATATTATCAATATATAAAAAAAACAATTAGGGGAAACTGAGGCAATGACGTCACAGACTTATGCGCGAGTTGCCAATTTGTATCATGATTTTCAAAATTCTTCATGTCATTAAACATTCATTTCTTTCTTATAAGTTATCCGATTTAAAAAAAAAACAATTAGTGGAAACTGAGGCAATGACGTCACAGACTTATGCGCGAGTTGCCAATTTGTATCGTGATTTTCAAAATTCTTCATGTCATTAAACATTCATTTCTTTCTTATAAGTTATCCGATTTTGCTCAAACTGTTTTCGATTGGTTTTGTCTGATTTTTCTGCTTATATTAAAATGAATAATTTTTGGAGTGGACTTACCTTTTAACAAGATCAACAGGAAAGATTCTTAAGGTTGCTGTTACTGGTCTCAGATATTATATTGAAATAAATATTACTGTATTTTAGGTCGTTTCCGTGTTAAACGTACTTTTAAACTATTAGTTTTTATTGCAATGCTGCATCTGTGTTTCACTATTGTTTTATTCTCTGTGATTCTATTAAACCATGTGAGTGTGTCACAGTGGTCTGTTTAGACTTCTACTGTATGTATCACTACTGACTAGTCACTGATTCCAATTTTTGTTTTGCTAATAAATAACAATCTAAATTTCAGTAAATAATCCTCATGTTGATGTTGTCCTCCTTATTTATTATGTCCTTCTCATGAATCTCAAGTTCTGACTCAGAGTTGGGCTCTGCCTCCACCTCATCTTCCTCTTCTTCTTCCTGCTCTCCATTATCTTGACTGCTGCTGTCTCTACCATTACTTTTCCTATAACCAGGATGACGACTGCTGCTATAATAAAGTAGCCAGGCTTTCACGGCTTGCTGCGTCTCATAATGTTACATACTACATGATGACCGACAGGCGAGTATGATTTTCAAGTCATGATTGAATAATACAGACTTAGACAACAGGTTTTTTTCACAATATTTATTATGAAAACAAGGTAAAATACACTGGTAAACCATGTTTACAACAATATGATTACACATCAACGTTGTAGTGCAATAGTACAGTTCCTCTTCTAATATTTTCTATCATTTTCTATCATATCCAACTGGCGCATTTTTCACGGCAAACACTTGCGCCTGGCCGTCTAGTTTTAGATGACTTACGGGCGCAATTGGTGGCTCTATGAGCGCAAATTTGCGCCTTATGCCTGCCTATATCAAGGCTTGACTCAAACGCTGGGTAGTGGTTCTACCGTTTTCGGCACAACTCACATTTATATGGCTGTGTGTACATTATCATCTTTGCTTGACAGCTGCAACTGCCTTCTTCTGGGAGCTCCAGAGGATTCAAAACTCTGCAGCTCGCTTAGTGTCAAGAGTGAAGAGGTCTCAACACATAACACCTATCTTGAGAGATCTACACTGGTTTCCAGTTCAGTTACGGATCCGCTACAAGTTCATTCTAATCGTTTCCAAAGCTCTCCATGGCATGTGTCCAGAGTACATCTCAGATTTGCTCACACCGTAATCCTACCAAGGCGTCTGTGGTCATCTTCCCAACACCTTCTCACTCTCAATCATAGAGCCACAAAAACCTATGGTGACAGGGCATTTGCATTTGGTGAACCAAATCTTTGGAACATTCTCCCAGTGTGGCTACACTCCATGACTGATGTTGAAGTTTTTAAGAGAGCGTTGAAACTCACCTTTCTGACAAATGTTTCCAGTAATTATGTAAACATTGTACATTGTAAAGCACTTTGAGAGGGCTTGCAGTCCTGAAATGCGCTACAAAAGAGCGAACTATTATTATTATTGTTATGACATACCCGGTACTGGTACCTACATGTATTTGTATATTCTGACAACGTATTCTGAAAACGTACACTGAGTAGATTCGTCGCTGTTTTCACGAAGTGACGGTAGTGAAAAAAAATTGCATTCACTTTGCGTTACGATTTTCCTCGCTACCGTCACTTCGTGAAAACAAGGACGAATTATTCAATGCATGGTGTAAGCTCCTTAGTTTGTACCACTAAACTCAAACATTCTCGGTCGCCAGCGCACGAGGCAATATTTGCGTGCAAGACGGTGTGAACATACCGACATGCATATGTGTGTAGTGCAAACAGCCTACCGCCTTCATATGACCTTGCTATTGCACCATGTATTACGCTTATTTCGAATCATCGGGTCGTTGCTTCGGGTCCGGTCGTTGCGTTACCCGACCTCTTGTGAAAACATGTCCCTCTATTCATGAAATGTCGGGGATAAAGTTTTTGAAATACGATGTATACCCTTCTCATTTACAATAATTTGTGAAAATCCTTTGGTAAATCTATGAAAGTTCGCGTGATCTTATGCTTTCTTTTCACAAAAGTTGGTGTAACGTGCCCACCTGATGATTCCAAAGCCATGTATTATGTGGGTATTCAATGCAAGCATGCATATTTGCCCTCATATTCTTGAAGTTACATTCGTAATTTCATACAGATGGTGTGATATGTGAAATGATTATGATTTTCTTGCAATATTTGGTAGCTATGGGACTCCAACTCTTCAACTATTGCTCCCCATAAAGTTTTGGTTTTAAATGAACATACCATCCATGGGCCCACACATAGCTGCATTACTATCCTGGCTGTGTACCGTATTAAAAACTGTTTTGACAACCTCTATTGATTCTCAACATTTCAAACACCACTGTACAAAACTTAACTGAGTTCACTCAAAAAGCGATTGCAATGTGAAAGAAACGTTATGGAATCAATCAGAAAAGGTTGATCATCTATCTTATTAGTATTGGTGTGTAATGTAAGGTTCTGGAATCATCAAAATGATAAGAAATTTGGCCCAGTCTTGGTAAAGCTACAAGCACTGTAAACAGAAAGACGTATATGGGACTACACAAACATGTTGTATAAAAAAATGTGTCCTGATTTGTATGTTACATGCCATATTTAGAATATTAAGGCATTTGAACAGCCATGCTTTTCAGGGAACATTTTTTATCTGATGCTCTTCCACACTTGCATAATACAATGATAACGCTCACTCATTATTTTTTCACCTCTTCCCAAAACTCAACCTTCTCTAAGAGTAGAGGTCAATAAGCAATATCTATGCTTTGCTGGAGTGCCGTGGCCGTATAACTTACAGTAGACAATTCAACAACGTGTACGTACAACGACTGTACAAGCTAAGGAGCTTATCTCAACTAAACTTGTATGAACATACATCATCATCATCATCATCATCATCTTCATCACCATCATCAGTCATCCACGTAGAACTTTGAGCATTGAGCGCTGTACAGTGAGTTTACGCGCTCCCATTGGCTGATCTGCTGGAGTAGCTTCGAATTTAAGTGAGAGAGGGCCTACTTATTTATTTCATTGTGTTTCTTTTTATTTACTGATTTAATTCTTATAATCGTCTGATCTGCAAGACTACGTAAAAAGAAGTTTCAATTTTGATTATTTCAATGTATAAAACAACATTTCTTTTCCTTTAACATTTTAGCGACTGATGTGAAAAGCGGTGGGGCTTTTCTCGAATGGGTGCGTTAAACTCACCACACCGCGCCGCACCCTTTCGACGCCAAATAGAGAGTTTGACTGTAATATCATGATTTTGGTATTGCATTAAAAGGAAAATCGCAAGCTTTCTCCTCACACCAATATCTTATAACATTCACTTGAGTGAATGGGAGACTGTGATAGCCAATAAGAAGGGCCCTTGTCGGCGCCAATTCGCCGAGGTCAGATGAACGTTATGCACATGCGCTAAATGTAAGCTAAAGTTCTACGTATCATCATCATCATCCTCACTAACTCCAGGAAGCTCCGACGTCGAAGGCCATCGGCGTCGGAGCTTCCTGGAGTTACATCCTCACCATCAATTGTTATCACATCATCCGCATCAATATTTCAATATAAAAAAATGGACAAATTGGATGACTGAGTGAATGACCAATGTCAACGAGGAAAAAAAGTTTTAAGTGCTCATTCAGATACTGGATAGACCTAATCTTATTTTCAATATTTACTGGACATTTCGCTTACCAAACAAGACTCTCGAGCTCTCCGTAGGAAAATCGGAGGGGGTTTCTTTGGTTTTCAGATCACGCTTCGATTTCTTACACAAATTGCAATACGTGGGACATGATTATACAAAATTATGATCATCCAAAGTTCTCTTACCTCTGTTAGGCCCATATTACACAGCTGACATACGCCAGTTTTTTCTGCATTCTGAATGTGAGGTTTTATTGAATTGCCCATTTTTAATAGCTATGACAGCTGAATAAATATGGTTCAGAAATGGCAATATTTCACAAAATTATTTCTGAGAACTGTACTTCCTGTCGCGTTCTTACCAACAGATGGCGATATGTTGAATGTACGGTACTGATTATAAAGGTTAATATTTGATGAATTAGAGCTCTAGGTTTTTGTATTTTTTTAGAATCAGACTTTAAAGGTACTATGTCCCATTTGCATGCCAAAAAATGAAAAAGTTAAATTCCAACTGCATTTGAAAGATAATACTAATTTAGAACTTCCCTAAATGAGGTGGGGCTTGAAAATGTCTTCAAGTGGGAAAATAACGACTAGTTGTCAAATCGACTTTAGGGCTATAGAGCCCAAAAGTAATAGTCTTGATTTTCAGACAATTGTACCGAATGGTCATACCTTTTATGCTACGCAAAGATTCAATCAGTTTAATCTTGGCCATCACAAGAAGTGGGTTATTGATGTAGACAAATGCTCATGTACCCTTTACAACTCTTTTTATGTATGTTATTACCAAAGAAGGAAAAAAGCCAGTCAGTCACTCAATAGTGTCTGACAGTGAAGTCTAGCAAGTAAACGGGTTTCCTTGCATAATTTGAATATGAGGATACTGCTAACGTTTAAATTTCACAGATAGGACATAATTCCTGCAAAGTTCTACAGAATTTGGGGTTGGCTGCAAAAGGGACATAGTACATTTAAGAGGGATATGTGTCCAATCTTCTTTTCAACTCCTGTATTAAGACCATTTCCATTATGTGTGCCCCTCATTGCGATTACATCACATATTTTATTGTCACTAGCTATGTGATAGCAATAGCATAAGTATTCTAGTTTGGTTTTGTATTGCTTATGATAATCATGTAATGTCAGAATCATATTTCAACAAAAGAACTGGATCTCAAGTAAAAGGGAAAGATGGGTTATAAAATTGAAAAGTAAAGTAATATGACAAAGAAGTTATCCTGTGAATATGCATATATTATGACAATTTTCTATGACTTGAAAACATCCAATTTTAGAAAGGTTAATATTCAAATTGAAATGTTCATAATCCGTACATTCAGTTATTTTCCCATCTTAAATTTATATACAGCTTGCATAATAACATGACATGTTTTTTTTTTGAGAATTTAATTTCTAGATTCTGTCTCCCATAGTTTGAACTAATGGATGTGTGGAATTTATTTTGCCGCTTTGATTTTTTGAGGCGTTTTTTTTAATTTTTTTTATTTCATCAGCTCGAGATTGCAAAATAGCCCGCTATTTCTGATTTGGGTAATAATCTCAAAGTTACTAATCGCGTCCTCATCAGCTCGATGATTCTTGAACTCAACCTTGAAACTTGAAACTTGAGCTCAAGATATTTTGCTCAGCGTTCGCGCATAGTGCGAGTCTTCGGGCTGGACAAAAAGCGGGATATTTTGCAAGCTCGAGCTGATGAAAACAGGCCTAGTAAGAGAGAAGTGCCAGTAATTAAGAGGCATTGATCAAACAACCACAATGACTTCCAAGTAGCCTAGTTTTCGGATGAGAGCTGAGAGCAAGAAGGCGTGTGTATCCTGCATCCTTCTGCTTCTCAAGCTGTGGGCTTGTTTTCTCTGAAGTACATTCAGATTCTATTCAATATTTTTGTATTCTTTTGAGCGGTCTCCCTAGGAGAGAAGATGTTTGTATTTTGAATGTTTGTTTTCTTACCATCACGTGTCTATCAATCTCATCAGTCTAGTTTATAAATAGACAGGAATAAGAGAACTATTATGATTAATAATTATTGATTATATGTACATCTCTGTATGCATTGTAAGTATGTAAATTGAATGATTGGATTAGAAATAAAACGTCTTAAAAACCCCAACTCCCCCCCCCCCCCCCCCAAAAAAAAAAAAAAAAAAAAAAATTATGATGTAGTAATATATCCCGGATATGATCATTACTATGATGACAATTGTTATTCTTCTTGTTCTATTTTTTATCATCATACTATTATAATTATTATTATAATCATTGTTTTGATAGTTATATTATCGTTATCATTATTATTATTATGATTATTATTAGTATTGTTCTTATTCCTTGTACACCCTAATTGATGGTATAGGTCTATCAAAGTGATTGAACAATATCAACAGATTATTTCTTTTATTAGGGCGAGATACGAAAGGGTATGTGCATTGATATATGATTTTACAAGATCTTTTAATAGTCATCTTTCTACAAGTCATGGTCTACCTACTTCTTACAAATCGTGTAGTATAGATAAGAGACAAAGAAAGAGAAAAAATCAAACTAAGATATGTATAATTAGTAACATTCAAACGTTTATTGCTCCTTCCATAAATATTTTAACAAGATATCTTTACAAATCATACCATATAATATTCCACTATTAGATCCCATCATAAGCTACTAATACAAATCATACCATATAATATTCCACTATTAGATCCCATCATAAGCTACTAATACAAATCATACCATATAATATTCCACTATTAGATCCCATCATAAGCTACTAATACAAATCATACCATATAATATTCCACTATTAGATCCCATCATAAGCTACTAATACAAATCATACCATATAATATTCCACTATTATATCCCATCATAAGCTACTAATACAAGGTGATATTTACAAAACAAGTACTGTGATATAAAGCCAACATGGTTTGAGAGTATTCTATTTGGTCCAATCATTTAAAACTAGTCTACTAAATACTTGGCTTTGAATTTATGGATTTGAACTTGCAGCAAGCAGTGCAGGAAGTAATCTGAATGGTTAGGCTTTTTGTATCTCACTACAGAATTCCCTAAGACCCACCCACTTAGGTTGATATTACTCTTCAATTCTTCATTTCTTGATGAACTAAGCCACTAAAACGATATCAATGAATGTAGTACAATTATTTTAATATTTGCTGTACAAAGTATTAATGATGAATGAAGAACCCTCATAAAGAAGTATGATCATCTTGTTATATAATAAACATTCTGTTTTTTTCTTGAACAAGAAAACAGGCATTTGCACTATGTATATATTATAAACGTAGGTAATGTTGTTTTTGAAAGGGTAATACATTTGACTACAAAAGGCTTTTTATGACGATAATTAGTAATCCCATTTTCAGAACGAACAAATTACAAACAAATTAAATTATCAAGAAGCAACTTGAAGAAAAGACCAGTCTTACCGAGGCAATCTATATGCAGGCATCGTATTCCCTACTAAGTACATGCTCACAAAACCATGGTTATCTTACAAGGTCCCCCTATAACATATGACAAATTTTAATCATGTTGAAACAAGATTCAGGCATAGACCTATAAAGATGCATGCATTAAAGTAAATGCATTATACTAAACAACTTGATATTATTAGTACAAAAAAGAAGTATCATTTGTAGAAAAGAAGATAAAAAGTATGTGTAGGTAGATCAGTAAAGTTTCAGTGAGTGGAAGACAGTCATTGGAAGATGAATTCAAACATTGCTAGATTGGAAGCTCTTCTTGGTACTGCATATATTGCCAATTCTTAAAGTCTCATACACCCCTAACGATACATGTATTACACCAAATTATTTAATGATTTACAGCTTAAACTTTCTTTATAAACACATTTTGCACAAAACACAGATTACAGATAATTCATTGTTAGAAGATCATGACAGGGTCCAAACATAATACACTTGTAAGTGAATTTAAAGTGAATTTAAAGTGAATTAAAAGCTATAATTACTACCTTCTACCAAAGCTTTAATTTGTTTAATATACTAGCAAGTTAAAAAAATACTTCCAAAATAAAGCAGGCTAAACCCTGGCTGAAAGTGATACTTGCATTCAAAAGACAGGGAATACAGGTAAATAAAAACAAGTCAATATATGAGAACATGCATGTTTGAATACATTTCTGTGGTAGGTGATAATGGGGGCTTAATGTTTGCAAATAAAATGTGTCAACTTTAATAATCTAGATGGCTTTATAAGGCACACCTTCAGCTTTCAGTTAAATAATAACTTATGCACACAAGCATGAGTGTGTGTTCAGACTCTAGTCTAGTACTCACTACACACTTAAAAATAGGCTAGTTTCTATTCAAGACTAGCAAAGTTCATTTTATTACAAATATAGTATCACTGGAAACATGTCAGAATAAAGGTAGACATTCTATATGACAGACTGGACTGAATAACCAATACCAATGTTTTAGCCACTCTGTAATATGCCATTCCATGATCTTCTTTCAAGTTTATGTTGCTTCATAATTTCTGAGCTCATCATACTGATTGTGTAACATGCTGGTATATCAATCATAAAACTGATGGTATAATTATATTCTTATTTCCATTTACTTCCCAGCTACATCATAATCCAAGACTACATCCTAAATGTGTATGTCCTACTTTCAAACCCTTTGCCTACTGGTGCTGAGCGGTCCATGTATTAAGCCTATGGAAGTTAGAAAATTCAGTAATCAAGACGTTAAGTTCAATTATAAAATTGTCTTGTCCATTTGACCTCCTTTCCATATCATAATCAAGTATCAAATGTCAACAGCATGGAGAGCTGCTGGTAGGCGTACAGCATGAATACACTCCAACGTTCTAACATAACCTGGCTTCATTCACAGATAACAACTTCATAAATAAAATTGAGTCATTTCTTTTCAAAAAGACATTAATCAATCTTATAAATTGTGATGACCTGTTTTACATACATATCAATCAAATCAAGTACAAAAACATCACTTGTTCTTACCATTACTTTCTCTCCAACCCGTTACTTTTAATGGTCTCTCAGACTGTTTGCTCAAGTTTATATCTCAGCAACAAAATGAGTGAGAAGAAATGTATGATAGTACCAGTACTAGATCTTTATTGTATTATAGGAGAAAATTATGTAATCACAAGAGATCAAAATAAGAGGAGTGTTTAATAAAAACAGTCCCAAAATAGATATTTAGAACACTTGATTCATGCTCTAAACAGTGATATAACTTGACCATTAAATCTGGGTAGAGCAACATGTGATTGAAAATGCCTTGTGTTTTGTCACATTATGTGTGTGACACCAATACGATAGTTAATGCATTCATTGTATGTGTTCGAATCAAAGCTGTATTTCAAATCAATATGAACAAATAACAACATTGTAACTGTATGAACTTAGCATCGTACAGTCATTTCAATAATAATAATAATAATATGGATATTTATATAGCGCCGGTATCCGCCAGAAAATAAAATAATATAAAATAGAAAATAAAATAAAATAGGATACGAACAATGCATACGTCAATAAAGCAAAATTATCTTTAAAATTCTAGATAATGTTAATATTAAAAGGTAGCATTCCCAGCATAGAGAAATTAGTACTACACACCAATCAATCTTAATAGTATAGACTAGATAATGGGGGTATACTTGATCATCTCATCAGCAAACATGTAAAGGTATTAATCAGTTACAAGATCGGAAGAAGATAAAAAGATTATTTGCTGAGAGGAAGGAGTTCCGTGACATCGTTGGTCCCATGCTTTATGATTCCAGTAGTGCATGCCATCGGCAGACCTGATGACCCTTAGATTCTCTCATCTCATTCCAATGGCCGATCTCTTCTTCACTACTGTTACTAAGACCCATTGAGAACCAACCAATGGTTTCCTTACGCTTCATTCCTTTCTTGTTGAACACAGTGAAGAGCAGGGTCATCTCAGGAAGTTGGAACTGGGCAACCTGTTCAAAGAGAGGAGATGCAAACTTATATTTTTAGGCCACAAGTGGTATAAACCCTTCATTCAAATATCATGTCTGTAATAACAAATGACTGCATACAGTTTTTGGTGGTTAGTGTCCACAAATATCATCAACGAATGAGTAAAGCATGAAGCTTGAAAGAGTGATACATACGTGAGTATATGTTCATCAGTGAAAAAAATACACCGCGCTCGGGGCGAATTAGCTCCTGAAATGCCTAAAAGACCCCCCAAAAATCAGAAAAGAGCCCCTGTATATTTGCATAGAGTTCAATGCAAAACAAATTTTAGAATGGTATTTTCAGGCAGGCAAGCTTGAAAAGTAGCCCCTGAAAAATAAATATTAATTTTTTCCCTGATGTTCATTAACTTGGCACAAACAAAGCCCTCACCTTGGACCTTCATATCAGTATGTATAGTAATTCGGGTTTACACAACAAGGAAAGCTCTGAACAAGTTGTGTGGTACCCTTACAAGTAAGATATTTCAATTAAGCTTTTCATAATCATTATTCAATTCCAGGTCATTGAGATTAGAATATACTTTTTTTGGTGGACAGTTGCTAAAATCGATTTTGATTTATCATTATTGATTTACCAATTCCGTGTCAAATCACCCCAAAAATCTGAACATTTTCGGCCCACCAAATTTTGAGATTTTTGGCAAAAATGGCTATATGCCTACCTTTGAACCCTTGTTATCTCAAAAAGTAACGGGTCAATCTTCACAAAATTGGTATTGTTGGAAAGGGAATTCAATAATAATTCAGGCCTCTGAGTTGATTCTAGGACAATTACCCCCAGAAAATTATCCCCAGAAAAAATACCCCTTAAGGACAATTGCCCCCTCAGAAAATTAACCCTGTTAACCCTTTAGGCCAAAGTACCCCAAAAATGTACCAATCTTCAAAAGCATGGCAGATCTGGAATCCTCATGGAATTCCCTTTCCAACAATACCAATTTTCTGAAGATTGACCCATTAGTTCCTGAGATACAAGGGTTCAAAGGTAGGCAGCCACACCCATTTTGCCAAAAATCTCACAATTTGGTGGGCCGTATCTCCCAAACCCCTCACCCAATTGACCTAAAATTTGAGATTTGGTGCTGCGAGATCACATAAAAATGGTTGGGTTAAAACCATTGGGTGATTTGACATGAAATGATCTTTCCTCCCTATTCACAATTTCTAGTTACATTCCTAGAGCAAGGCCCTTTATTCTTACAGAAGAAGAACTTTACCTGGAAGAAGAAAGTCTCCTTGAATGTTGGGCTAGACTGCCCTCTCCTGACGGATGTCTTGCTCTTGGAGATCTCAAAGCCACTAGATGACATCAGAGCAACCTTTGCGTAGGAATCTGTCAGTCAATCACACAAATCATACCAGACTTACATACAACATGAATGGGAGAAACATTATAAGGGATATGATTGATGGAACTGAGTGAGAAAATCAACTGTCCAATAGTTTTCACCCTTAATTAGGAAGTTCCTGTAAATATGTACATGGTGTATGTGTATCCTTTAATAATGAATGCAAAATTACCGCTGTCAGTACCCTTGTGGGGGTGATTAAATGTTTAATAATAATAATAATAATAATAATAATAATAGCCTAATAGTCCACTCCAAATTTTATTAAACCGAAACGGAAATTCTTTTTGCCCAATTGATCGTGAGCCCGGCAGCCACTGAGCAGCGCCAGATCGACGTTGCTCTATCCCTTATTGTTGAATGCCAAACAAGGTAGCAACAACTCCCATCTTTTAACGTCTTTTGGTATGACGCGGCCGGGGTTCGAACCCACGACCTCCCGGTTGTGAGGCGGACGCTCTACTGACTGAGCCAACACTCCGGTATGTTTAGTTTAGTATGTCATTCTGAAACCATCCACATTTGGTGTACCAAGTATGTAACACACTGGTGAGAAGCCATCATATCACCCCTTTTTGTTGCTTTCCCATTGAAGCAAATCCCAACAAGACTTTTCTCTTTTAAGAGCTTCCTACCTGGTGCTCTGCCAGCAGCTCTCTGCTTGAAGTGACTTCCCTTGATGACCTCTACATCCAGTCTACCGGTGGTAGCATTGTAAGCTAGACCAATCAAGATCTCAGGCACACTGCCCTGACTCATTGACTGCAAGGAGGATGAACTGTTCGAATCAGATAGGTCTGATGTACTGGAGTATGGAGAGGAGCCATTCTTACTCTGGACATTGAGAGATGGATAAAAAGTAAAGATATTAAAGAAATAGGTTTGCCGCTCTACACAATATATTTGCTACCTTCAATTTTTTTTTTTTTTTTTAGTTCAAGTCTACAAATATAACATCTACAGCTGTATAAACCAACATGTTACCATGGATATGTTCAGTATTTAAAAAGTTCTCACAGTGCTCTACAACTAGAAATTGGATTATCTGGCCACCATGCTAGAAAGGACAAGTAGTTCAGGTCAAACGATCTTGCTTTGCATCATCAGCTTTCTACACTTTTAGTCAGTAGCATGCAAACATGCCTATTCATCGCTAAAGTTTTATCCCTAGCACTTACAATTGAACAAAATCAATACAGGTAAGTTGTTTAGGGTAATGTTTTTTCATCTGCTTAGAACTAACAATAACAATTCAGGCCTATACACTAACAATAGAGTTCACGACCACCAGGCATCTCCAAGTCAATGGGAAGATTAGTCCATTGTTAAGGGCAGCAGAGGAAGAAGCAAGACCAGAAGCAGCTTATTCAATCCATAACAAATACACTTTCTTTAAGCAGTCATAGAATGTCTGACATAACAGCAGATGAACAATAGCTATCCCCAATCTTTACTTCACTGATCTTGATGCAATAGACAGTGAGATATTGTGTGATGTGAAGAACAACTTGGCTGGAGGAAGCACACATAGGTGGATGAAAGCTTGCATACTTAATGTTAAGGCTGCAGACAAAACGCATATTGTAACTTTGTTTCTACTTAAACACTTGAGCTAGGTATAGAAAGATAGCTTTGGAATTTATCTGGTCTTTTCTAAATATCCAAGTTGGAAAATAAGACATACAGATTTGACAATTTCCAAAAGGTGAAGGTTCAACTAAATAGAAGATTATGTAAAATATAATTATACATGTATTCATGTAGATTATGACACCATACAATATCCATTTATTTTCACTCAAATGATACACAGGTTGTTCGGTTACCAAACCAGTGCAATCTGTAGAAAATGCCTTGAAAGGCGGACCCTAAAATAAAGTGCCACAGAAGATTTCAGTGTGCTGTTAGAATAACTAACAACTGATTCAACAAAAAAAGAAAAGGATGGATAATATGATTCATATGTGATCTGATTTGGTCTTTTTGTTCCAGGAAATGGGTATTAGACTGACTGATCATACTGGGAAATCTCCAGACAGGATAAAATGAACTACTCGGGGGTGATAGTGAGCACTAAAAAAAAACCCACGCCCCCCTTGAGTAAAAAACAAAAAAGAGGATTCGGGGGGGGGGGGGGGTGGGGATAATCGCATCTTACAACTTTCCCCCCCTTTTGAGTAAGAAAAATTGGAAAATAATTGGTCAGAAAAAAAAAAAATATTGGGTAAAAAATTGGGAAACCGATTTAAATCAGGTTTTTATCAGGCTGGACTTCTATACATTGATTACTTACAACATCACTGCGAGGGTCGATTCTGACTTTGATGATTTGTTTGTTAGCGATGTTGAGCGATGAGAACTTGATAATACTCTCTCCAATGAGCTTCTCTTTCCTCATCCTCTCACATCCATACAGTCTGCATCTCAGAGCAGTGCTTACTACCTCATGAGGGAAGATACGAGAGAACCTGAAGAGCTCCTTGAAGAGCGGCTCTTTGGACTCTCTAATGTGGGTCTTAGCCCTCTGACGTTTGCTTGGAAGCAGCAGTAGACGCAGTCTAAAGCTGGAAGCTCCACCTTCATCCTTGGTAGGCAGGTTATGGCACTTGATGATGGTTACATTCATACGTCTAGCCTCACCATTGTATTGAAAGGCTAGCTCCAGGTCACCAATAGAAGGCCCAGCATCGGACGGTGGCAGCTGTTGAATCATATGACAGGTTCAAACAATATTAAAAAATCTTGCATTGTGAATACGGTTAATCATTTAAATAATAAAAGGTTTTAAAATAGGAATGTTGATTTACCAGTATTTTCATAAGCACTTGAAATGCACTTAAAATCTATTTAATTACCATATTTTAAATAACAATATGGTATTACCAGGCCCTAGCCTAGTTAAACTCAAAGTGCTCAAGCATTCAAGGGTTTACAAATGATGCATGGCATGAGATCATTATACGATCTATCCGCACTTGTATAATGATCGTATAATGAACGGATGAGAAAATGCATATTCATTTATACTACAAAACTCCTAGATGCTTAAATGTTATTTGATGTAAAAAGAATTTGTTCAAAATTGTTTCGTGACAGTATGGCTGACAAAAAAGCTTGTTGTCCTGGTTACTGTTTTTAAACAATAGAGCCCGCATGCTCACTGCGCGTATATAGGCATACATGTTTGAGGTTCAGAAATCCTAAATATAAGATCTCTATGTGCATGCCTCATACCCAGGCTGTGTATTAGAAAATAGTTGGATAGTACTGGAAACTATTTCACACTTTTGCTTGAAAGACGTGGGAAAGTCTCAGTAAATCAATCACACATGACCGGGCATGACCAATCATTTGATTAGGATCTAGGAGTGAGTTGTATAATACCAGTTATCTTCACCTGGGTGAAGAGTGGCAATTGAAGATAAACTTTGTTTCAAAGAGATTCAAACCCTGAACCATTAGATCAATAGTCCAGTGTGACTAATCCACTAGACCATGATAACACCTATCCTGTTCATGACGCTCAAACTCTGTCAGAGAATAAAGGTGGGGTTTGTATTTGTTCTCCTACAATTGTCTGAATAACTGATATTGCTGGATCAAGAAAGTATCTTACCTCCACTACGAGATCATCATCATCATCTGATCCAACGAGAGGTAAGTCATCTACAAACTCAGATTCTACTGGATAATCATGACCTTCCTGATCCAGTGATATATCACCCTGCTCTACATCGTCTGTTCTCACACCTTCAAAGAAAAAGTTTTAATTTTTTTTTATCAATACATCTATATACGTTAAACATCACAAGCATTACCGGTAATCATAATCATAGAATCTACTTTTCTTGATATACACAATTTAGAATTTCTGAACCCAATGTTTTCTTCTGTGAACGAGAAGGGTACTTACGGTATATATTTTGGCACAGAGCTTACATCTCTCTGGCTCTCAACGAAATTGGAGGAGATTCATTCATTTTTTTAGTGAATAAAATGCTCTGCACAATAAGAAGTATAACAAGCAAGAAGCACTAAAGGTTTCTTTTTGATGGACGCATTTAAAGACATTAATGTAAGAATAGTGCATACATCCTATTGGTTACAGGCTTACCAATGAAATATTTCACCAGACTTTATTGGTAAGATTTATGCAGATTGAGATTTAAAAAAACATCTCTCCCAATCACAAAAGATCAACTGTCATATATCAGGAGAAGGATATTTGCTTTTTTTGCTTGCTTCAAAGGAAAAAGGGTAAATTAAAACATATAAATGACCTTGAAAATGCTTAATATATTTGTATTCCTCAAATATTTATGGTCTATTGACATAATGCTTCAATGAAGTTCCATAGAAAACGATAGGAGACCCAAGGGAAAGGCAGGTGTTCACAAAGAGAGAGAGAGAGAGAGAGAGAGAGAGAGAGAGAGAGAGAGAGAGAGCCACAGAGAACTTAGCACTCTCTATTTGATTGGTTTCTGTGGAATGAATATTATTTATCCATAATTGAAAATAGGTAAAGGGTTAAATGTAAGTAGATGACCTAAAATAGTATGGCACTTCGCAAGACCTCAAAAATTTTGTCAGTATTCTGCATCAGGTGGAAATATACGAGTATAAATGTTATATATTCCACACAAAATTTAAATTCATTTACATGTACCCACTGAAATGATGGTATTGCTGTGCTGCTAGAAGCATACAAAGCAACTCTATAATACACAGAACCTTCATGAATATAATTGAATTGGTTAAACATCCTTCACAGCCTTTCATTGATTTGTTTTTTAAATAAAATATTTCAACCAAATTAAATTACAAATATAGTCTCATAGATACGTGTAATATATCACCAAGCATGTATGCAAAATTGCATTAAAAACAATTAACCCAAAGGTAAAATTGCTTTTTGCCATATTTCATAATATTTTTTTCAATTATTTTTTTAGTAAAATTCATGTCACACATTGCGCAATCTTCCAAGGCCTTGAAGCAGCATTTTTCTTGGAAAAAGAAGAAGAACTTATTCCAAAAGTCCAAACTGGTAGATTTTGTGCCATGCATAGGGAAGAAACTGTTGAGTCCAAACTGTAGATTTTGTGCCATGCATAGGGAAGAAACTGTTGAGACATTGATCTAATGTTGGTTTTGTTGGTGCATCTGGGTTGTAACTATTGACAAGCTATTACTGTATATCTATTCTTTACCAGGCAAGCTCCCATGTTGTTGTCAAAACCCTAAAAGACATACCAGTACATGAAAGTTGAATGAAATAATCTTATGCACTAAGTCTGCATATAACTCCTAATAAAAGACTGTAGTGAATAAACTACAGTCAAAAGTGAAGAGTTTGGTCTAAGGCTCTAAGCATGAATGTCAAGAAAACTAAGTTACTGATTTTTAGTAGAACAGAGAATAAGCCTAGAATATGTTTGAAACTTGATGGACATATTGTTGAACAATTCAGTAATTACATCTACTTAGGACAAAATATCACAGATGATGCCAGATGCGAAGCAGAAAATGAAAGAATAGAAATTGCTCGGAATAAATTTCTGGCAATGAAAGGATTATTCACAAATAGAAAGGTGGAATTTGCGCTTAGGTTGAGACTTGTAAACTGTTATGTATGGTCTGTCCTATTGTATGGAGCAGAAACATGGGCAATAAACAAGGCCATGGAAAATAGAATAACATCTTTTGAAATGTGGATCTACAGAAGAATGATGAAAATATCCTGGAAACAAATAAAAAGAGAGTAGGATTAGTTAAGGAGAGAAAAATCAAATACTTTGGTCATGTTAAAAGGCACCAAAACCTCTTAAAGGATGTATTGGAAGGAAGAGTGGAAGGAAGTAGACCCAGAATCAACTGGGAAGAGAATATCAAGAACTGGAGTGGACTAAAACTGCAAGAGTGCACCAGAATCAACCTCTGAACGGGGAGAAGATACTTAGATAGATAGAATAAACTGAACAGTTCATTAGTCTGCCGTTTGTAAATACAATATATTATTCTGTGTAATTTTTTTTAATTGCTTGTAAAATGTGAACAATTCAGTTATTGGCTGCTAATCATATCTTGGATTATACATTTACATGTACAATGAATACATAACAGTACATACAGAATTGTAAAAATCCTTATATGCCAACCATGACCATCCAAATCCTCTTGTTCAGATTTAAATGGCAGTTTGGCTCCCAATCAACAAATCAAGCCTTTATACCTTATGATATCTAGTATGCTGTGTGCAGGCTCAACTAAACCCTCCCTCTTCTGAGTATCATCTTATAAAATAAATCTCCTTGTGAATGAGCAATTTGAATGAAAAGACTCAAAGAAGAGACCCTAGGTATGCACTGGACAAAGACATTCAAATTACCTTGTGAAATATATTTGGGCAAGAGTGATCATTGTGAACACTGTAGTAATGGTACTGGCAATTAAGTCCTGATGAAAGGACAACTCTTTTAGAATTCAGCAAGGGATTAAAGCGATTAGGTAACTTTGGCACCGATTCCTGGATTTAGCTCATGCTGCAACAATCGCCTGTCTGATTATCAAAATATTTATGATTGGAAATTGAAAATTAAATTTTGTGTTTTCCTGACAGTTTTGATAACACTACAGTCTATTGGGGAAAACAAGGATTATAAAACCGGTCAATCAAAGGTTTTTTTTTTTTTTTTTGAGGCACTTCTTGATGATTTTGAGCGCAATTTTTGTAGGGCTTTAATATTAAACCATATCACAGACACTGATAACACGTAGGGCTGTGCATCTCAGATTTAACATTGTTAAACGATGCCTTTAAAGCACAATATGGCCTAGATGTGCAGTTGAACTTGGACATTACACTGCATTTTATACAAAAAGTATATTATGCAGTTCTCAAACAATTTTTGAAAGTTTTTATTTTGACAGGACTTCATATTTTTATCATCTCCCACTGTCTTCTCAAGGCATTCACTTAAAGGCCCACTGCACTACTTGTAGCTACTTGCGCCCTCTATACAACAACAATGCCTAATCGGTGACCATTGGTCCCCCATGATCCTCTTTTTCTTATGTTAACTGAGAGCCGAGTTGATGAGATAACCACCTGTTCAGTGACCTTGCAGGGCGGTCTAATCCCTCCTGTAAACTGTGGCAGATAAGCTTTAACCGGTGTGTTGGCTCAGTCAGTAGAGCGTCCACCTCACAACCAAGAGGTCCTGGATTCGAACCCCGGCCGTGTCATACCAAAAGACGTTAAAAGATGGGAGTTGCTGCTACCTTGTTTGGCATTCAACAATAAGGAATAGAGCAACGTCGATCTGGCACTGCTCAGTGGCTGCCGGGCTCACGATCAATTGGGCAAAAAGATTTCCATTTTTCGGTTTAATAAAATTTGGAGTGGACTTTAAAAGATTATCATTATTATTATTATTACGATCCTACCTGTTCCATTGACTTGAGATTCATTGATACTTACTCTCCAAAATAACAGACTCTGATTTACTATTGGCTATCGATGCAACATCGGATTCATTAACACTCTGAGCTATGCTAGGGTCTGAGTAATGTCCTTCATCTTCACCAAGATCCTCATCAGGATCTTTGACTTCAGTTGGTTCTCTCACTGATCTAGGGGCAAAACCTATCAGGGAAGAAAACCCTGGGCAAAACTTCAGGCATACTAGACAAGTCATTGTTCAAATCAACTGTCTTCCAGACAGGATTTTAGGAAATATAATCTCAGTTTTACGCAAAATTACTCTACTTAATTGTGATCCAGATCAGAAGAGATGCAGAAGTCAACAGGAGCTTAGTACCTTGTCATACAACATAAATACTTGGTAACTTTATCAATGGCTTCAAGCATGTGTACAAAAATACTGAACATTTAAGTTAAGGCAATCTCCTGAAACTGAAGAATACTTGGATAAAATGAAGTTTTCTTTGTGGGAAAGACACAATAAGAGATGTCACTGAGAAGTGTCTCCTCAACTCAAATCCTTTGAACATCACAAATATTCCGGTCTTAGAATCCACATGTTCTGAGATCCGTGGGTGAAAGAGAAATGTCTTCACTAATTCTCTACCTCAGGTAAAGTATTTGAGCAAACAAAACAAATGTAGAATCTAACAAATGTAGATGAGATCAGAATGGAACTGGGTTGGGTACAGTAGATGTTTGATTCCGTAAACCAGCGAAATTTCAGAGGTACAAAGTCCATATATTCCTGTCTTTTTCAATGAATACAGACTTGTTGATGTTTCTTTCCATCAAACCAGGGCAGAAGAGAACAGTATACCAGTGTGGTTACATACTGCTGCTTGATATGCAATCACTTGCTAAAATGTCAACTCTGTCCTATCAGCTAGCACATCAAAATGAAAAATACTGGTAGTCACAGGAAGTATAAGAAGTACATGCAGGTGTAATGACCCACAGCTAACACCTTAACGACTCCCCCTCTAGTACACTTTAGCTCACAATATAAGAGAGCAAAATCTACACTGGGTTTACATATTTGTGTCTATACAGGCACATGTAGATGCTTGGATAGTTCAGACTGAAAAGGGTACAGTCCAGTGAATAATATGAACAGAAGCATTGCAAATACCTCAATGGATGGCCCTGAGTTTTTGTACAATGTATTTCACATATATCAGAAAAAGGGGCCAGAGCTAAGAATGTTCTGTACAAACACTTTAAATACCGGTAGTGAGAAGGTATTGATGATGTTGCTCTAATCATG